AACGCTGGATGAGATGATGAAACCCTCGTTCTGAACAGTGCCGATGTTCTTTCTTAAATCAATTTCATCAGTGATACTATCTTTCCAGGTATTCTATATTGACGGATGATTCGCAAAACAGTTGTGGATCGAAATCAGGAATGTCAATGAAACTTCTGAGAGTGCTCTGAAGATCAAATGCAAGAAAAACCTCCTCGTAATACCGTCTGATTAGTCAGTAGATACAATTCAACCTTCAACTTTATTCTACTGAGGGCTATCCATGTGAAATCCTCGAGCGCGTGCAGAAGGGTGTTCCTTCCAACATTTGTATACTAACATGCTCTGTTCTTCGTATAGAGAACAAAGTATTTATTATAGTGAACTAGCAAATATACCTTGAAGTTTCAAACGTGGCAACAGCTTGTCCAGAAGTACCATTTTCCCGCAGTTGTCCACCAGATGCTGGTCAGTGGTATACGGTGGACCGGGCTCGGCACCGTCAAATAAATATGGATGATTACAGCATTTTCGTAGCTGCATCAAGATGTTGAGCAGCCGGGTCTTTTCGAGCTTGCCAGCACCGTTTACAATGTCGATATCTTTCATGAGAATCTTGGTATACCTGTAAACAAATGCAATAAGCAAAACAAATGCGCTTGTACTTTCCATAAGCATACCATTCTCGTTGCATTTTCGAAAGTCCTATATAGATTTTCAACTCCTTTTTTGGAGGTAGCGCCTTTTCAACCTCAGATTTCAATCGCCGCAAGAGAAAAGGCTTAAGAACCTAAAGCAGCAATAAAAAAGTTAGAATGAATCCAATAGGCAGTATATCCTTTTATTCTCTCACCGCATGCAGCCGCTGCACCAAACCGCTGTCGTCCAGGCAGGAATTCGTGTTGAACCAGGAATCGAAATCATCGGCACTGCTGAATACATCAGGCAGCAAAAAGTTAAGCAAAGCCCAGAGCTCGTGCAGGTTGTTCTGCAATGGAGTGCCGGTCAGCAGCAAACGATTAGTCGACTTGAATTCGCGAACTCTTTCTGACAGCTAAAACAAATATGCTTACCATATATTCATTATAATGAAATACATATTAGAAGTCAGGAACGGTAGGTCATCATGAATTTGTGACGTTAAATTTGTCATATAACATGGTTTTAATAATACAAACTATCGTTCACTCATACACGATTAAAAGTGCACCTATAAGAGGATCGGTAGGCCACAAATCTTACTTTCTCTAAACTTTCTAACCATTGTCCCACGTTATACTTGCGGATATTTCGGTGATAAAATAACTAAACTAAGCGACATATGGATATAATAAGAGGAAATTATTAATACCTTGAGTACTAGTGACGCCAGATAGACTACGTCAAGAAATGAACCGAAATGAGCAGCAACAACGCACACAAATAAAAACACATCCTCTCTTCATCAAACTGACAGGAGAACACTAATGTAATATAATTCAGATCTTAATATGTTTTTCTGACATTTCTTACGTGCTGAAAATTGTCGCTTAACCGACGTTCTAATTTCTGGCACCTTATCGATTCTCTCAAGTTCAAGCAAAGATTTTTTTAATAGCTATAGTCTGATTTACCATGCTGCAGGTTCCAAACTCTCAGGTGCTCACATCTAACTAATACCGATTACTCACATCTGACTAATACGTCACACATACGTTCTTGAGAAGAACATTCTGCATATACCATTTTCAAATAAGGTATTCGTTGTTAGTGGGTAACGTTTTGCGCGACCTCCATATTTGATAAAGAGCTTTTGAGCATCTGCGTTGTCTGAGCGCTTGTCACAGAAAGTAGCTTCGTTGAAGAGCGACGAGAATGCACACAGCGAAGTAAATGGGAAACGGAGCAAAAGACATTACATTTTGTGACCGTTTGAGCATCGGTTCGTGTTTGCCACGCTTCCAAAAGAAACGACATTTGCGGTGATTCTTCGTTCATGAAGCATCCTTCTGATAAGGCATCCATCTCTGATTCGATGGCATCAGCTATGAAGAAACTACGGGCTATAGTCTCTTCCTTAATTTTCACAAAATGATACGCATCCAATTAACGTCGGAAGGATGAAAAGTCAGATGACCTAGGCGAGGATTAAACTTGTGTTTTCGGCTGCCTATTTCCAACCGAATAAATTAATCCTACCTTAAACCACTATAGTTACTCTCTCTCTAATCGAACACTCAATCAACTTAGGAGAGGCGGTCCCAGAATGCGATACTATCATATACTCAGAGGTCATTCTTAAAAACAGATCACACTGATCAGCGCACATCATTTTTGTGTTCGCTAAGGTGTTGGGGGCACCTTACTAACTGTTGAAGCCATTCAGGCTGCCTATATCTCTGCAGTGTTCCTTTTCGTTTTCGGATGTATCGCATCACCTATCATGCACTCGAGCTCAGTGATATTCCTTGGTCAGATTAAGAATGACAACCGTTTATTGAGGTGAGTAAAGTTGCTGGGAATAGTCGAATTCCAATCAAAGAAATTGCTACGCTACAAGAATCTCAATCGAGGAGACTATCATCTGGGTAAAAAACGTCATGGCTGCAGACAGCCACCATGTAAATTCGCAATGTGCCGCTTCGTGGCAGCTGTTCAGCGCCTCACTGACTAGGATAGAGCATAATTTTTGAAAATGCAATAAAGAATGTGTCGATGTTTGTTTATAAATAAACCAACACAGTAAAACGAAACAAACAGCGTGAGATTATTGGACAATAAATATTGATAAAAAATCTACGAACTTTAGATTTCTCGTTTTTTATTCTATGCGCTTCGTCGATGATGACGAAGCGCCAATTGAAACGCTTTAAAATTCCCTTGTCTCGAATGGCCATTTCGTAGCTGGTCACGCACACGTCCCATTCGCCGTGTAAGATCACATCCGATATTATTCGAGCCTAAACAGTCGAAATACAGACATAGATAGGGTAGTTAACTGCAAAATAACGTCATAATTAAATCAGCGTCATAATTTCTAAGGTTCATACCGACACCGTACCGGGATAACTTGAAGATAACGTCATCTGATGCCTTGGAGGCAGCAAATTTTTTTTACAAATCCTTCAACGTTTCGACCGAATTGCATAGAAAATTATCAGGGAACGAACAGATTCTAAGCAAACTGCTGGATCAGTTGGTGCATTATCTGACTGCTAGAACGCTTAACCGGTCGCTATTTAAGCGATTAATCAAGCTCCCCGATGCGAAACTAGCAGTGAAACCTACGTTTCACTGACGAGGTGAAATCAAGCATCTCTCATCAACATTCCTTAAAACTGATATGTTAAATATTTAATTCATTTTCTATTTAAACACCATAAATTTGGTTCCCTCTCTAATTTAGACTATTTAATTCCCTATTTCAATTCCTCTATCTCGATACCTGATGCGCCAGGCGCATATGAGGAAATTATACGATATTTAAAAAGGTACGTCTTAATGTATTTTTCTTAAGGGAAAAACCTTTGGAGACCATGATTTTCACATCAGCTTGGAGAGCAGAAACTTCGTCTATCTAAACTGTATTCGATCGGATTTATATCGGCAAGACCTGTCGAGCTTTAAAAACTAGATTAACGGAACACAGGAGACCCATCAGATATCATGACGTTGATCATTTTTGTTTTGTTGCCCAAATCTAGTAGAACGGTCACACTTTAATAACAGTGGTCACGGTGGTCGAAGGACACTGCGACAAAATATGGCTGATCCAGAAGTCGGTTCACATCGCAACCAGCGAAAGCGATCCACTGATATTTTTGTAGCGTTGCGCATGATTAAATGCCTAACTGACGACTGATCATTCGTAACACCAGTCAATTAAAGCGCCAACTAACCCAGCAGTTTATTTTTATTTCGAATTCATTCCCTGATCATGACGATGCCAATTAGGTCGAAACGCTGGAATATCTGTAAACAAAATTTTTGTTCTTCCCAACAACAGAATCACAGGACTTATAAACTTTAGTTTTTTAAGTTCATCCAATAGAGTTCCTAAGGCTCTTACCATGCCAGGACGAACTGAAGCTAACCGGTCTTCTGATCAAATGACGGGCAGCAGTTGATATGAAAAAATTCTTTCTTGTTTCTCGTGCTGCCAACCATGGAATCACAAGAACGTTAAGCTTTACATTCATCCATTTAATTTTTCTTCACAAAAAGGTGAATTAACTTTTAGAAACGGCAGCACAAAAATACGCATACTACGTGAGCCGTGAACCAAATTTTGCGAGAGAAAAACTACTAGGTCGCTCGAAACTCATTCCACCATGGTCGTGGAAAACATTCGCCCCCTCCCCCGTGCATACGAACAAAATTTAAAACTTTTAAGCGATCATCTCACTGATGACAGCAACAAAACAATTCGATGGATAACTTTCATCCGGTATCATTCGTTGTGATTGCGTCACTTATGCCCTCGAAGTCGACACCCTCGTAAAATCTCGGGCTGCTCTCTAATCTCGGTGACAAAATAATTGGCCATCGGGACCGGTCGTGGTGTTCATCGAATGATAGGTATTGTTCTGGCTGATGCTGCGCCCCTTTTCGAAGTTCTGCTTTCTCAGAAATTTTTTTTGCAAATAAACGTTTAGCAGTTCCGCTCAGGGTACTAATCTTCATGAGTGTGTTCTTAACGATGTTTCCTCAACATTCATCGCTAACAAGTGGCGGGAAGCACCACCTTTTCAATATACCTAGTATATTGAGCTCCTACACATGAATGGATGTGGAAAAGAAGAACTACACCGCTCTACATTGAAATAGCAAAATAACCAACTCGAGTTTCCTGGTCGCCAATGAGAGCGACCGTTCGAATCGTCGGGCACCAACGTGCGAATTCGTTCATCCAATTGCTCAGAGTCGATTTCGGACAGATTACCAGATGAGGACTCGGAATGTTCTTGTAGTGCTTCATGTAGCCGAGCAGAGACACAGTCTGTAGCGTTTTACCGAGACCCTAAATGACAGACAAGGGTGTGAATAATCGAAATATGGTCAAAATTAGATCCACAATCTAATCGCCAGCTTACCATTTCATCTGCCAGAATACCGTTTATATGGTTCTCCATCAGTGAGATCATCCAATTTAAACCCCTGATTTGGTAATCGCGCATTTCACCATTTTTGATGACTAAATAAAATACGGCAAAGCTTACAGCTTCCTGCTATGAAATGGAAGCAAGTATTACACCAAGGTGATTTTTCGAACCGAAACATGCACTCCTTTTTGCGTTCCTCTTGAATCAAAAGATCGTCCTCTTCCTTCTCCGTTCGACGATGACGGTGATCACCTTGCAACGACGTCGATCTCCATACTGAACCGCTGTCTTTAGGCTCCTTGATTTTAAGTGGGGATGTCGGCAGTTTTTCTATATAAAAAAATTAAACATGCATTATCTTGGATGTCGTTTCTAGTATAATCAGTGTCACAACGCAGAAAAATAGTGCGGATGGTATGGAAAAAGAAAGTCTCGTGTGAGACTTATCGAAGGAACTTTGCTTAAAGCAAATGTTACCTTATTTATGGGTCCCAGAATGCCATCAATTTTTCAGACACAGTTGTTGGACACTAATCAATCTAATTTCATCAGCTAAACAGACTAATCTAACACAACAGACATTCAGTACTATAAGAAAAGCAACCATCTTCGAACGATTCTTGGTCTTAGGCCCGAAAATGTGCTACAATACCAACCGGATAACTGTCGCAGCTAGCAGTGTGGCCACCGATCATGTAACTTACTTTTCGGTTCATCATGCAAGCATTACAACCAACAGATTGATACATAGAGCAATCGTTGACTCGTCTAATACGCTGCACTGTGCCATTATACATCATTGCTCAATAGCAGACTCGAGGAAATTCATCAAAGGTTATTCATTAGTGGTGGCATACAAACACAGTATGACACCTGTTTAAGATAAACTATTCCTAA